ACTTGCCTAGCCCATGGTCATATTTAAACTTTGTAGTAGCTTTTTCAAAGTGGGAAAAATATCATGCTTTCTAAATCTTTAAAATTCAGAGGTATCAAGTTCAATTTTAATTTTCTAGATCATTCCTTTAAAAGGAGTTCAGGAGGACATCTTATTTTGTACAATGTTAGTGTACAGTTGCAATCATAGACTACAAATTATTGAGTTACTTATTTAATTCATAGGCAGAGCCTTGTGTTTACTTAATTTATAGTATATTATGGGAAATATGCTGCTGGTTGATAAAAAGTTGATCCGAAGCAGGTGGATTTACAGGAAAAGGGTAAGAACGGGGGCAATGGATGCATTTAGCTTTTCTACCTCTTTAGCTAATGCAGCTGATTTGAAAGGAAGTGATTGCCTCATTGATTCAAGACACTTCAATGATTTGTTCTAACCTTCCTCTGGTGGACAATTTCATCCTCACTGTCACAGCCCCCGAGGAACTGCATGGACGCACACTGGAGGCTTTGCTGACCAAAGTTCATGTGTGGTGTAATTTAAGTAAAAGAACTGATTATATTCTGTGCTGCTCTGAGTTAAATGACAGGAAAACCTGATATGTGTGGAAGGGCAGGAAGCAAGTGAATGTGTCTTTCTCCTCCAGTTCAGAAAAAATAGCACAAGAAATGTATTAACCAATGCTGATTCTCAACACTGCACAGCTAATGGTCAGAAGTTGGAAGCAGATTAGAGAATGAAGAGTATTGACAGGAACAATTCATTGATTTATTAGTTTATGTATCACTTCTGATTGTTCAGTGTACAGCCATACTTCAAATATATGCATATGTGATTGTCATATCATTCATCTGAATATCACAAAGAGTTAAACTCAGCCAGATTTAAACCTATTGTATTTGTATTGCTACATGGCCTACTTTGAATTTCTCAGTGGGTCTGTTAATTTTCCTGTGAGATGATTTTGGATATATCCAAAAGCATACTCTGAATGATTAGGATACTTTTAAGAATTTGTCCTATTAGCAATCTAGCTTCTGGTAATATACCCCCTATGCTAAAACAATCCATTTTTATTAAACTGACATTACCCAATAAAATATGAGCAAAGGAAGCTAGTTTTAAGATGGCGTGAGTCTATTGTTTCCAAATTTTGTAACAGAACCCATAAGATTTGCCATCTTCAGTTTTTCCCATTAGGTCTAGATTATTGGCTTCTCTGGGCACGATACACTAATGCAAAGGACATAGGTACACACATATTTTAGAAATTTACGTGAGCTCTTATTTGATTCATAGACTGATTTATGTTGTGACTAGCCATTGGCAAAATAGTAAATTACAAGTAATAAGTGGTAAAAACTTCATTATAGTGTTCTAATCTTAACTGGCTCGAGAGCATCAGTGGCTTACACAAATGGCATCTTATGTTTGACGACATGTGACCCCTCTTCTTGGAGACCTGATCGCCTGTAGCTCTAGTTTCTCTTCTCATCACCATCTAACAAATCATGAAATCTAGACATTTATCATGTTCATTCTTTCTCTTACAAATTTTAAGCTGTGGGAAGGGAAGGATTTTAGAGTGTTTAACTGATTTAGTCACGCGATAAGCACTGAAAAATATTAGTTGAATAAATGAATGGATAGCATATTGGCATAAGGTGACACTGTCCGACACAGTCTTAATAATTTGAGCAAAAATATTAGTTAAACTCGATTCTGGGGCTAGCAAAGAAGTTTGGATTCCATTTCTTCTTTTGCTAAATTATAAATATAGGAGGCCAAGAAAAATGAATAGACATGAACTAACAAAGTATGCCTCCCTTGCCTGTATGGCTTTGTGCTTTTTCTTCTTGGCCAAGTCTTCCTTTCTGTCAAAAATTCTTTTCCCTTGGTTCATTTTTGGACCTGGTGAATCCTGATTACAAAATTACTATAGGTAACAAACTCCAGGAAGTGTTTGAAACCCCTGCATGTTATAGTTGTTATTGTCTTTTTTTTCTTTTTTTTTTTTTACAGATTAATGACAAAGAAACAAAAGCAAAAAGTCTGTAATGCTCAGTATAGGTGCAATTTTTTATTCTGAATATTTTTGAGTAGAGGTGAGATGCCCTCCCTATACGCTCCTACAGAGCTCTATCCTTCACTGCAACATGAAATCATAGCTGGCTGTGTGTGTTTACCTTCCTTGTTCTTATAGCAGACTATGCTCCAAACACAGGAATCCTAGTGTTTTTGTCTTTTTTAAAATCAAGACATAGTGTTTGGTTCCAAGATAGGATTCAGTTAAAAAGAGAAGTGATGGAGAAAGACCATGAAGGAAAGGAGAGAAGGGAGGGGTAAGGGAAAGGAAAAGAGGAATAAAAGGTGATTAAAGGCACTGTCTTGCTGCTCATTTTAATCAAGGAAGAGCGTGTAGCCAGTGAAACAATCTGGGTGCCACGGCAGGTTTCCAGGAGAGTTTTATTTAACTAGTGAATTCACATCCTGCTTGAGCACCTCTGTGTGTCAGGCTGTGTGCTCGGCGTGAACACAGGGATGAATGATGGCTTTGCCCTCACTGAGCTTGTATTTCAGTGAATGAGACAGAAAAGACAAGTGCAGTACACTGTATGTAGCAAAGAAATGCATATCATAATTTAAAACATGACAGAAAATACATATAAATTACAAAGTATATGAGCTCTACAGCTAGGTAATAAAATATAGAACATGGAGCTGTTTAAAGGGACCCAGGACTAGGAGTGGCAAGCAGTGGCTTTTGGTGCATGCAAGAAAGCTCACAGTTCTTTCCTGGTTAAATGCTATTTGCTATATCCCAGAATGGGAAATACAAAATGAGTCACTCCAAGAGGGCGTCTATGATAACTGACATGTGCTCATCAGCCCACACGATGTGCAGAGGAGCAGTTTGTGTAGACCGTAGGGGGCCCGCTCCCAGCTGTGTGTGTAAGCATGGACCTCTGATGGGACACCTAGAAGTTTGAAAGGCTCCCAGTGTGCAGGCCTTCTTCATGCACATCCGGGCAAGACCCCAGCCTTGAGATGAAGATGGTTCGAGAACCTAAAAGCTAAGTACAGTCGTCCCTTCAGCACCTGAGGGAGATAGGTTCCAGGATCCTGCCCCCACACCCAAACCCATAGGTGCTCAAGTCCTTTGTATAAGATGAACCTGTGTGCTTTAAGTCATCTCTAGATGACGTGTAACACTTAATATAATGGAAACACCATGTAACTAGTTGCTATACTGTAGTCTTTAGAAAATAACAACACAAAAGTCTGTACATGGTCAGTACAGATGCAGTTTTTTTTTGTTGGTCTGAATCTTTTTGATCCATGATTGGTTGAGTCCACAGGTATGGAATCCACAGATAAAGATGGCCAACTATATGCTTTCCTAGACCTCTGGTTTAAACTAATTTAGCATGGTTTTGTGTTTTAAAATCTTGTTTATCTTGGAATTATTTACTAGTGGGTTATTTTGGGAGGCAGAGGATTTGAGTTTTGCATTGAGTCGAGGAAACTTCTAGGATATGTGTTCAGTAGAAAAATGATTCCTGAAGGCAGTATAATAACAATAGGCTGCCATCTTTGCTTCTGGATGGGTGAATATTTTGCCAGCATAGGAAAGAATGTTCTCAGGTACCCTCGTGCTTTGTGGCAGAGAAAAACAAATACAGTGAGAACGAATGAGGTAGCATGGCTCTGCTATTGTAGTACGTAAGAGTTTGATCTCGTAGCCCCAGGATTCATACCACCCTCATAGTTGTCAGCAGATAACATTACAAGAGTGAATTTCAATTACTTTTTCTCTGTTGAGGACTCCAGGTAAAGCAGGTTTTCACTTTTTCTCTACTGAGGACTCCAGGTAAAGCAGGTTTTCAGTTCTTGTACACACTATATTGATAGAACAGAGACTTACAGCAAAAATGTGCCAGTCCAGAAATGGAAACTAAACCTAGGTTCATATCAAGTGTCCTTTACCCTTGGAAAAGGGGTTGCTGTTTGGATTACTTTTGATCCTAGAACATACTGTGGAGTATCACAGTGTACCTGGTGTGTATGCACCTTTCACTGTGAGCCATACCCTTGAAGTTGTTGTTTTCATTCCACAATGCTTTATTTCTTTTGCAGCATTTGAGGCTACTTGGATTATCAACGGAGTAGGTTACACTTTGCTGAATGCAAATTACTAGCAACAGACATATACATTTCAGTCTGCAGGAAGAATGAAACTAGATTTAGAAAATTGATAGCAGACCTTTTTCTCTGTTACAAAGTCAAACCTCATGCTACAGTTTGGATACAGAGATAAGGACAGAATAAGTGGGAACTGTGAAGTGAGAAATTTGGGGTTAGGGTGTTTAGTTTGTTGATGTATAGTGTATAAAATTTCTGACTACAGCATTTATACCTCCCCTTCATGTTACTTAGGTTGACATTAAAAAAGACCTATAAGCAGCCCTGTCTCTTTTCTCTCTCCCTTCTTTCCTCCTTCCTTTCCTTACTTCTGTTTTTTCTTCCTGTCTCTCTCTTCTCTCTACTGTTGACATGGTAATTTTGCTGCAGGTTTTCATACTGAAGACACTACTACAGAGTTCTGGGCACAGCCACATGATAAGCTTAATGAAATACAAGTCAGTAAATAGAATTGTTAGTGAACTCTACACATAATCATGGTCCAACAATGTCCATTTCTCGAATCTATCCTAAAATAGTTTGGTGTAAGTTTTCCCTATTATTTTAAAGTCTACATTTGATAATTTTCCCATTAATTTTTTATCAACAGAAAGATAGTGTGAACTTGTTTCTTAAATTACCTTGTCTGACCTTTTGCAAGTTGATAATTACAAAAACGGGAGGCCTGGAAAACTTGTAAAAAATGTAAGCTTATAAAGTAGCTCAGGTCCTTCTGTTCTGGTGTTGATTTCAAAATTAACATTTTGGTTCATGTGCTTCTAATAATCACTGACCCCTACCTCGTGTACTTTCCACAGGAAATGAATATGGCAGAAATTACTTTGACCCACTGATGGATGAGGAAATAAACCCAAGGCAGTGTGGGATGGAGGTCAGCAGAGAGGGTGAGCTAGAATTAAGTATGTAATTTTTGTGTCAGAATATTCTTTTCCATTCATGAAAATGAGGTGACAAAGATCACACATGCAGTTCTGCTTAGATTTTGCAGCTTACAATTTAAATGGTAAGTTTTAACCACTAACAACATGATGGGCAGTGAAGGTAATTTTTGATCAAGGACAGAGAGCTGGTGAGATGAAAGAAGCATCTGTCTGCTTTCATCTGAGGCTATTGTGAAAAGTTCGGGCCATTATAAGACCCATGTCATGCATCTGAGGGACATCACTTTGCAAATGCATCTCTGCCCTTCAAATTTAAAATGAGCATTCTTCAGTAAGATGCATCAAGCACATGAGATTTCCATTCACCGTGACTGTTGAATTCCTTTCACTGAATGTGCAGAATCACCACCTAACCTTTGAGCCACAGAGATGTGGATATGATAATAATATTCTTTCCTATAATCTTGAATCTAGTTGTGGTTATAAAATAACAATTCACAATTGCTCCTTAAGTGCATACCTCTGTGCAGATTTTATAGTTTACAAAGTATTCTAGGGTTTACATAGGTTATTGATGAGATAATGACACTGGTAAATGTTCCTTAGACTCATTCACATTCAGAAGATCATATTCCAGTAGTAGCTACCAGTAATGGAAATTGCACGTTTTAATAAGAGACTGGGCTAAATTTTCACAAATAAAAGGGTTCAGCTATAGTGCAAAGATTATTTTATAAAGCAATTCTCAATAAACTAAACCTATTTTTAATGATGCAGCATTCACAGATATCATCAAAAGATATATGTGCAAGATAAGACAAAGATTTAGTTCAGGGGAAGTTTTCACCAGTTGTTGAAACATCAAGGTGAATTTGAAGCTGGAAAATCACAACTTTTTCCTTTTTTCTTATAAACACTTGAAGGGTGAGAGACAATCCCAGTGACTTCTGGGGAGAGGTGTCAACTGAATTGTCAGTTGAAGTTTGTTTTTAGTTTCTTAGAGGCTGCAATAATATGGGTGTTTTGGTAGAATTTCTGTAATGAATGTACTCCCTACTTTAGGAAAGCTATCTTAATAAGGTTTGTTGGATGAATAAAACATGAATCAAACTACAGAAGGGTAAGTTCCCCTCAGTCAGGTTTGAGTATCCCTTACCTGAAAATGCTTAGGACCAGACTTGTTTCAGATTTGGGATATTTTTTAGATTTTAGAATATTTCCATATGCATTATGATACATCTTGGGGATGGAAAGTAAGTCTAAACATGATATTCATTTATGTTTTGTATGCACCTAACACACATAGTGTGTGAAGATTTTTATGCTATATTTTAAATAATATTGTGCATGAATTTTCTGTTTATGGCAGGAATTTTCCACTTATGTTATCAGGTTGGCAACCAAAAGTTCTGGAGTTTGGAACATTTAGAGTTCTGGATTTTCAAACTAGAGATGCTCACCCTGTGTCTGTGGTCAGTCTAGCCCCTTCCCTAGTCAGCTACTGTTGGCCAATACCTGGGGTTAACTTGGGTGTACATTTCAGACGTGATGGCTCTGTCTCTGCCTGTCCCTAGTTCAGGCTGTGTTGGGATCTGCCGGGGAGAGGAGCTGGCACTGTCACCACTGAGGAGTTCCACCTCCAGCCTTCTTTCTACTGAACTCCTTTTATTCCCTCTTTTATTTCTCTTCTGTTTCCTATTTTCTCTCTTAATTTCTTCTTCAGTGTTTTTCTTTCTCTTCCTTCCAAGATTCTTTCTTAACTGGAAGATCTATTTTATTATGTTTATTTGAAAAAAAATCTCTACATTCCTTGTCATTTGGACAGATTGAACACTAGGTTCTTTTTCTCACAAAATAGGCAAAAATCTTTGTACTTTATTTCATTTAAATGACTTCTTTCTCCCATATGACTTAGGAACTTGTGATTGAAAAAGAGGTTTTTTTCCCCTTGTCTCCTGAATACTGAATGAGGGACTCTATATCCACATGATATCAATGAATCCAATGGACTAAATGTACAGATGTGCTCTGATTTTCTATGACCTGATACAGATAATACTATTTTTTGCTTTTTCCAAAGAGGCATACCAATAGAATTACACTTTCTCTAAAATATATTCATATTGTATAATACATATATTTCTCTTATATACATACCAATTACATAGTACATATATGTGCATGTGTGTAGGTGAGAGAAAGATTGTTGTAAAGAATTGAGTCACTCAGTTTTAGGGGCTGGCAAATCTATTCACAGGGCAGGAAGGCTGGAATTCTGGTCAGACTGGATGTGAAGTTCCGGTAAGAACTGATGTTGCTTTCTTTAAGTCCAAATTCTGCAGAGGAGAGACCATAAATAGAAGTCTAATTTCTGTGTTGAGTGTTGAGGAGACTTACTTCTTCTTTGAGAAACTTGAGCCTTTTCTCCTAAGGCCTTTGACTGGCTGGCTGAGGCCCGCCCACCTTATGGGAGTAATCTGCTTTACTCAGTCTGCTGAGTTAAATGTTAACCTTTACAAAGTTAGCTGCTTTAAATATTAACAACACCTCAACAATACCCCACAGCAAGTAGCCTAGGGTTTGACCAAACAATGGGCACATAGCCATGTCAGGGTGACATATAGAATTAGCCATCACAGGTTACATTTAGTAGCAATTTATTCATTGCTAATAATATTTTGTAGGGTGGTGAGGGCCTGTTGATTTGACCTACTAAATGTCTTCTCTCCGTGCTCTAGAACTTAACTCTGCTGTTTTTTCTTATTATCTTGCTTTTCCCATTGGCATGAGCCCTAGTTTTAGTTACACATTTATTGTTACAATTATTTCTTCAGCAGCTTTCTTCTCCACTAGACTTTACATTTCCTTAGGATCTAGCACAGTGTTTGGCTCATAGATGATGCCCAGCGTCTGCCGAGAAGAAAATAGCAAGATCGCATCTCACACTCTGCTGCCTCTCATTACCGCCCCTGCTCACGCACAGTCCCAAGTGGACGTCAGTTCCTGCCTGAAATTGCCCAACAGCTTTAGTCCTCATCCCTTCCGGTTCCCCTTCAGCCCATCCTCCAGATACCATCGAGGACCTGTCTTTAAAGTCAATCAGGTCTCCCCTCTCCTTGCTGTTTATTGCTTTGTGAAGTCCAGCACATAGTCATGCACTGCAGAAGTGCGGGATGCCTTCTGAGAAATGGGCCAGTATGCAGTTGCATCATTGCGTGAGCATCTTATACACAAACCTCCAGGGAGTAACCTACTGTCTCTATAACCTAGGCTCTGAAGTGGACATCAGTGTCTTCATTTCTAAGATGAAGAAACAAGCTCAGTGAGATTTAGGGTCTTTTCCGAATCACAGAGATCTGGCAATTGCAGTTAGGAGTTCAGATTCCTATCTTTGTCACAGTCTGTTGTCTTCCCTTCAGAAATTGTTTGACTTGTTGGATTTCTCAGCTCTTCCCTCTGAAAAGATCACCAGAAGGGGGGAAGGAAAGCCGGTTAGTCCAAATTGTTGAACTTGAATTTGCAGGATTTTTCTCTTGCCTTCACTTCCTGTGTTGTGTGACCTGTTTGACTCTCAAGGAATGAGTTTCCTTGGAGTGCCATTGATAGGAAGCTGTTTACTGGGCCTTCTAAGAACCAGAACCTCGATGGCAATTTTCAGTTAGGTCTCCTTCACTCAGGTTCCTTACAGACAAACCCCCAAAAGTCATTCACAATGTGTCACTTCATGGTGAAAACAAAAATATTAGTTCAAAATGACAGAGGTCATACGATTGAAAAATTGTGCATTTCATACAATTTCTAAGTACTTAGAAACAAACAAGCAAATAAATAGAGGAGACTACCTTTGCCAAATGCCTACAACATGTCAGGCACAAGCCTAAGTGCTGCGTGGTGTTAGCTTTTTAGCTTCACAACCATCCTGTTTTATGGGCAAGAAGATTAAAGCTAAAGGACTCTAAGAAACTCCTTCAAGTTTACACAGCTGCTAAGTGGTGTTGCTGGCATTTTTCTACAGGTTTGGCTATTACCAAACCTGTGCCATGCCCATGTTCTCTCTCCTCTAAAGATGTTTTCTCTTTGTTAATTCCACTGGGACTTTTTTATTTCAGCATAGAATTTCTTGTCTATGCATTTGATGTTGCTCATTGTTAACTTCCAAATAAGATTCTTTTATGAGCCAGTCATGTGTAAGCTTTATACATTTTGTAACTGTCCCACTAAGAATTATAAAGATTCAGGCAGTACTAGAATAACAGCATGCTTTCCTAAGGCTTGATCAACAGCATACATTCCAGGAGAGGCTTCCCTTTCCCTTCCCTTAGTGCTGGGATGTTAGGTTCTGTGCTGGCTCTTGGCAAGAATAGAAAATCAGTAGGTCAACCAATAATTGAAAAAGCCCTCTGGAGTATCCAGTGAGCAGAAGTTGCTAGCTTCATGGGCCTTTTTATGTCATATTCGCCTGCCCCAGCAGCCTCGGCTTTCCTGTTCAGTTATTCCAGGCCCATTAGTACTCGCTAGATTGGATTTTTTTCCAATACCAATGTTGAAGGAATCTGAGTTATGGATAGAAAGGGAAGACCTAGAATTATCAGGATCTTTTAACTTAGAGAATAAAGATCCTACAAGACTCTTCTGCAGTACTTGATGGCATTTTAGATGTGAGTTGCAGAATTAAATATCATCTTCAGAACTGGCCCACCTGTAGGTAGCAAAATGGTAAGTTATGGAAATATAAGGGCTGAAGGCCGCAGATTTAGCTCAGTGGCACCACGCCTACCTTGCAAGCACAAGGTCCTGGGTTTGATCCCCCATACCAAAAAAGAAAAGAGAAAGAAACATAAGGGATGTATGGAAAGAAGCACAGTAAAAGCACATGGTTTAGTTGCCTCCCATGGGAAGGAAAACACATTTGATGTATTAATATATGTGTGTATTTTAATTCTAAGACCAAGCTGGTCATTCAGTATGCATTGGTGATGTTTGATTCTATCTAATGGCAGGAGATAACATCTAGATCACCCTTTTTTTGGTCAGAGAAGGGCCTGTGAATGGAACTCATGGCCTTAGCCTGCTAGTCAAGTGCTGTCCCATGGAGCTATGTGCCCTGGTCTAAATGACCTTTTAAGCCCTCTTCTAGGGGCTTGGGGCATAGGTCAGGATCTGGGGGTGTAGCTCAGTAGTAGAGCACATGCCTTGTGTGTCCAAGGTCCTGTGTTAGATTTTGGCACTGCAATAAAAAACAAATAGAACCGTCTTCTAGAATTATGTATCTATGATTAAATTTCTGAGTTTGGTCTTGTCTTGTTTTGCAGGGTATAGGTAACATCATGTTCTTGTTGCTTTAAATTCACAACAGAGCCAAGAATTCTGGATTCTTTAATACAGGCTACTGCAATGTGATAGCATATATAAAAGAACAGGAGACCACCAAAGTCTGTGCTTCTTACATATACAGAATAGAAAATATATATAGAGAGCAGCTAATGGGAAGCACTCATTCATACTGATCAAACACTTTAATATTCTGTTGTGTGATTTGACAAACCATAACATGATTGTTGAAGCGATTCTTGAGTAATAGGTGTCATAATCCATTCACTATGAGTTGCTTTTTATTGGATACCCCACATGCCCTGTAATATGCATTTAAATCATTGTTCCAATTATCACTGATTTACAAAAGAATTTTTTCAAAACAAGGAGCATATTGAGTGCAGCCTGTGTCCATGACCCATAATATAACCACATAGTTATGATGATTATTTCTTTCAGTAATTATATTTGCATATCTCTAAAGTAGCTGGAAAGAAAGTTATGCATGTATTCTTTTTAACATCCCTAAAGGTGATGATAAAGTTTTCTGTAATCAATTAATGAAGTTGTCTGATGAGAATGAACAAGAAGAATCTCAAGGTAAGAGATCAATTATATTCAAAATTTAGATGAGTATTAGTTATAAGTTGATCGATAGTTTCTCCCTTTGTTTTCTAAATACAACTATTCATTGATGAATTATGTGTGCTTTTGTTTGTTGTAAATATTGAAAAGAAGCTAAACTTTGTGGGAAATAATTATGGCCTTATTTTCTATAATTGTGTACAATATGTGAACTCAAGTGGCAAAATGATTTGAGACTTACTATTGCAGGATCCTTTAATGCCATATGGCCTCTTTGGATTCACTAGTTTATGAAGCTATGTACCATACCTTTTACAGACTGTTTAAGCTTTTAAACAAATGCTTTGGGGTGACAGAGGACAAGTAGTGTATTGTCTTCAACCTTAGCATAAGGATTCATATTTACAAATACTAGGTTCTTTCTAATGAGTGAGTAATTATATGTATTAAAACAATTAAAGGCAGTCATTTGAAAACTAAATTCTAATTTCTCAGTTTGATGCACACGAATTCATGCTAGACCATATTGTAGTTTTACAAAAGCATTAAGTGAAAGTTGCTATGAATGCATATAGTTGAATTCATGTAAAATCATTCTATGAATTCACAGTGTGTGCTTAGTTTTCCTCAAACAATCATTTTGTCTTCCTTGTTAAAATCACTTCTTAAAGTACCTAAGAGGACAAGGGCCTCTGGTGATTAGGTTTTCTAATAGTTGTAGCTATTATTTCTATTGAATTTGTGCTTAGGCTTCACTATATACTAGCTGTGTGACCTTGGACCAATTAATTTTTCTTTTCCATTTCTTCCAAAAGGACCTGTAATACCAGCTATATGGAGTAGCTATGAGGTTTAAATTATTAATTCATGCCTGAACAGATAGGAAAAGTGCATACCTTAAAATAATAAAGATGCTAATATATTAATGATGATGATGAAACTGTTAATACTAGTTAAGTGTTTGAGTGCTTTCTATGTGCTTGGAAATGCCCAAAATACTGTTCTAGGAAAATATTAACTTATTTAAATTACATGCCAGCTCTAAAGATTGATCCCATTTTTGATTTCCATTTACAGAATAGTACCCTACCCAAATTTTATTCCTGTCTTGGTACACGTGCTCTTTCCTTCTTTGCTATAAACTTGTGTAATCAGGTATTCATTCATTTATTCATTCATTCATTTGCTTATTTATTTATTTTTGCTAAAGAAATCAGTTCATGTGACAGTGAGGGCTGGCAAGTCAGAAATCCTCAGGAAGGATTAGCAGGCTGGAGAATCCAGTAAGAGTTGACATGAACTTTGGGCAGCAGTTGTAACTGCATCCTCAAGTTCAAATCCCCCAGGGCAGAAAGCTGAAAACTGAGGCAAGGATTCAAGGCTGTGGCCTAGAGGCCAAATTTCTTCTTCTTCTTCAGGAGACTTTAGTGTCTACCTTTAAGGCCTTCAATTGATGATATTATGAAGAGTAATTTACTTTCCTTGAAGTCTACTGATTTAAATTTCAATCATAACTTAAAGTATATTGTCTCAGCAGCACACAGACTGGGGTTTGTCCAAACAAGTGAGCATCATGACCTAAGTCAAACTGATCACAAAATCAGGCATCACAGGCCTCTATATGTTTAGTCCCATTTCTGAGTCAGCAAACAAATATTGAACGCCTTAATGTGGAAGGCCTGGAACAGTGGACATTGTTTGCCTTTCTCCTTTCCACTCTGCCAGCTCTGCCAGCTTGGATCCTTCGAAACCATCTCAGTCATGCATTTATAGATGGTAACCAAGAGGTCTTTGAAAAACCATTTACAGGGTTACAAAAGTCTCATACAATTTATAGGCTAGTCAGACACTTTAGCAACTATTTTATACATGAGGATAAAACAGATCCTACAAAGTTTAAAGATTTATGCGAGGTAACACAGTTTATCAGTGAGCAAAGAAGACTGGTGCTCCTCGGGCACTGCAGCTCAGTGTTCTCTCCAGTACCACCCCTCATTCCTTCTGCTTGAAGAGGCTCCCTTCCACTGGTTCTGGTTAAAATTCTAGCCTTGGAGACACAGAAAATACCATATTACACCTTCCAGCATTTTTCGAGATGAGAAGAGGGAGGATTGTTTCATATTTACAGCGTGCATCTGGCTAGATGAATAGACAAATTTTGTACAGGATACTTCATTCAGATGCTAGAGAAGTAAAGCACACGTACCATGTGTATAAATGCTGGCATTGTTATGCAGAGAAACAAAGTAGCCCAGATACTGTGCCTCTGTGTGTGTGCAGCTCAGGAATTGTTCTCAAGGATCTTCACTTGGGAAAATGAACTAGAGAGCTCTGGCTTCTCCTCAGTGTATCTCAGTGTACCCTCCCAAGCTGGTTTCAGCATCACAGGAAGTAAGTGGTAAAATGTTCAGTAAATAACATGTAATATTAAAGGAGGGTAAAGCACAGTATCCACATTTCCAAATATATTTGGTAAATGGGAAAAAGGCTTTAGCACATAGCTATGCTTTCATTCATCTTGTAAATACTACAAATGAACAAAGGATGTTGTTCTGTTTAAATTTTAAAACTTCTGGCCTTTAGTGCTTTCCCAGTATACTAAAAAGAAAATAATTTGCTAAGTTTAGATGATGAAAAAAACAAAATTTACTCTATCAAAGAAATGAAGTAGTTTACTATTTGTTTGATCAATGCTAACATGGCAAAGGCAAATGGGATTACCTACAATCTTCTTGGGGTAAGCAGGTGGGAGCACCAAGGAGGACATTTTGGATTCTGAAGCACTCACAAGTTCCTGTAAGATTCAAGAGACCCACAAAGAGGCAGATGAAGCCACCTCTGATTCCATCCAGGAGTTTGAAAGACATGCTCAGAAAGACATAATTCTGCTTGGAAGTTCTCCGTTTGAACAGGTCAGCATTAAGTATATATGTAAGATGACCTATTTTTATTTTTTATTTTTTGGTACCGGGGATTGAACTTGGGTCCTTGCGCTTGCGCAGCAGGTGGTGAAACCATTGAGCTAAATCCCTGGTCCAAGATGACCTATTTGTAAATGACAAATTGAAATGTCAGGCCTACACATCCATGGTCTATGGATTCTGCTTCCCTGCACAATCTTCCTAGAACACACGATTGTTAACTTCATTGGACCTTTCCCTTTACATTTCACACACATTTTACCAGGCAGAAGTTACACTCCTTATCAAAATCTTCCCATGGCCCTTTCACCATTTAGTTTCACTCCATCTGGTTTTATTTTATGCTGTAGTGTTCATTTCGTGCAGGCCATGAAGAATCTAACATACAATCCAAAACCAACATAAACTTATTTGGATAAATTTATGTTGAATTTATTTACAGAAGCATTGTATTAGTGTATAAGTATTAGTACATAAATATTTGTGAAGTCATTATTTAAGAGATTTGGACATTCTGATTGTTGTGTCTTCAAAGACAGCTGTTTTGGTTTCTGTATATGTACTTTCTATTTATGTTGCAGTATGGTGGGCTCTGGTTTACAAAGAAGAGGAAAAGGGTCTCTTTTGTAGTTGCCTTATCTATCTCAAGTAAAAATACGAAAATTTCTCAGGTATAGCTCCAGGTTGTATGTGTGTTTTGTTGTTGTTGGTTTTTGTTCAGTGTAAACTGATTCAAGCTCAAGAGCCAAAAATTTCACCAGGTGAAAAAGACTATTCTCAATTTCTTTCATATAACAGATCGCAAGTAGTAATGTTTTCAGATTCCAAAGTGAGAGAATAACTTAGTTGGATAGGTGGTGTTCTCAAATTTGGTGCATGGGAATTCCGTAACTATGTCTAATTTTTTCCTTTGTGCCACTTAGATCTGAAGATCCTGGACACATTATGTCTATTTTGAACTTTGTCGTATAACTGACCCAAATTAGTGATTTCCTAACATTCCATTAATGGATTGAATTGAGTCCTCAAAAAAATATATCCTGATCCTAGCCCCAATGCTTGTGAAGGAGACTTAATTTGGAAATAGGGACTTTGCAGATATCATTAAGTTAAACATCAACAGAAACTTATCAACAGATCTGATCATCTTGGATTTAGGGTGGACCCTCTGTCCAATGACTAGTATCCTTTCAAGAGAAAGGAGAGAGAGAGACTTGAGACACACACAGAAAGGAGAAGGCCATGTACATTGGTTAGCTTTCCCATTGCTGGAACAAAACACCTGACACCTTCAGTGTAAAGGAGGACAGGTTTATCTTTGCTCATGGTTCCAGAGATTCAGTCTATGGGCAGCTGTGGAAGGGCACAGTGGAAGAAAGCTGCTCCACTCATGCCAGGAAAGAAGCAGAGTGGGTTGTCCCAGAGGCAGGGACCAGTGACCAGATGTAAGGCCAAGGTTGTACCTCTATGACTCACCCAGACACACCACATGTGTACTTTACTAATCTCCCAGACAGCTCTCTGGCCAATCAAGTTTACAATCAAGATTAACCAACCCATCATGTGAAGATGGAGGCAGAGATTGAAGTGATGCTTCTATAAACAAAGAAATGCCAAGTACTGATACACTAACCAGAAGCTAGGAGAGAAGCAGGGAATGGATTTCCCCCTACAGCCTTAGGAAGGAACCAATCCTGACAACACCTTGATTTCAGACTTCTGGTGTCTAGAATTGTGAGACAGTCCATTTCTGATGTTTTGGATCAACAAGTTTGTGACAGTTCTCAAAGGCAACAATTAGATAACTAACAGAGCTTCTCAGGTGGAAATCATAGGAGCTGGGCTTCACCTATTCACTGATGTATTAACAGTGCCTCAATCTTTATAAAGATACTGTTCTCAAAGGACACCAAGAGGAAACAGGACGTAGGACTCTGCCTTTGCCTGTTAACATTTCTTTTAAATAATATTTTGAATGCATGTTCTGGCAGAACATCAGTTCAACACCCCCTCCCCCATTTCAGTTTACCACATGCTTTCAAGAAGAGGTACATAGATTCCTTTAGGAAGGGGATTTGGGGATAGGGAGAGATGAGAGAGCTAAGGGGAAGGGGAGGTAAAAATGATTAAGATGTAATATTTATATACCAGTTTCCCAAGATGATGAATGTAATTATGTATCACAAACATGTACTAAAAAATGATATGTGATTAGTACACTTTGTATCCTCATTTTTTCTAAGAGTTGAGCAGAGAAGCAGAATGCTCATCTGTAAAGTTATGAGATTGTCATGCAAAGGGCCAGCAAAGTGTCCAGAGTCTGTGGAGAAGAGAACCCAAGCCTGCCTTTATAGGACTTGTCAGTGTCAGGAAAGAGTAAGCACATCCCTGAGAATTCAAGTGTTTCACAAATGTGACCCTCATTCCCTTTCACTAGTGAAAGTTATGATCCTATGTATTTCTTATCCTAGTCTCTGTGTCTTAAGTTGTGTGAAAATCAACCTATGCTGATGGCCTAAATAATAGTGAGAAAAATCATATACTTCCATGTGAGCCTGTGGACAGATTCCTATGGGGAAAGAGGTCACACTTTGGAGTCAGATCTCTTGTTGCACTATGGCCTTCCCTCTCATGGGGTGTTGGATTGCAGGCGACTCACTCAACTTCCCAGACCTTGGTTCCTTCATCTGCAATCTACAGGGAATCAGATGTACTTCAGTGCATTGTTTGGGCATGCGGTGAGTTATTTATAAAGAATCTAGCATAAAGTAGGTGCTGATGAAATGCAGTAGGCTCTATAGGGAAAAAAGATTCTAAGGCCCATGTTTGAGCCAATGCTTAAGATGTTCTAACATTCATTGTATTGAGAAGCCCTCTAAACATACCAGCCTGTATTATATGAAAGGAAAACTCATTGCTTTCCTCTTCAGTTGTAATATTTTTATGATCTTGGACTTCTGTTTAAAATTGGGCTAAATAATTTGACCCTCTCATGGTTATGGTGGGACTAATAAGGTATGTCCAAGGGCATGACAATTAATGTTTTCCTTTTCTTGTGATTCCTTTTATGTATATTTTGAGGCCATTGCCTATTCTAACTTTTTATTGCAAGGGCTAGCTGATAATTATATAAACAAGGTGTTTAAGTGGAGGTCTGGGATGGAGTAATCCCAGTGGGGTTGAGGATCATTGGGCGGGTTCCTTCTCTTACACTACTTGCCTGTAATGACTGATTTATATGGTGACTGGAGTGGTTGTTTCTCATCCCAGCATTGCAGGGCCTTGTGGTATGTGAGGTGATAAAAGAATCCAGATGGGAAAACAAGGTGGAACCTTTTACTGAGAGATTGCTATGGGGGATGGGCTGAAAATTGGTATAGAGATAAGTATTTGAAAATTCATCAGACCTAGAGAAACTGATAGTTGACGTGTATCTTGGAGAAACAACAACAAAAAACAGGAAAAACTCCTACATGCGTAGTGAAAGAACATCCTTGGTCTGGCAAACCTACTGCGGGATTCTTTTGTACTTAAAGAGTAGAACACAGAAATGCAGAATGTGCCTTTGCACTTTGCAAGAGCACATCTGCGGTGATGTGTGTACACCGATGTCTGTGTTGTATGACTGTGTGTATGTGGTTATGTTTGTGTGTTGGGGAAAAGTGTTGTACAAAGCCCAGTCAAACAAGTGTCACTTACTTCCCAAGGACCTGATGTGGAACTGATGAGAAGATTGGTCTCGGGGTCAGGCTTTAGTGAGCAGGACTGAGCGGTCGCAGCACTGGCTCTGCTATGCCTACAGCAGCAGGGAGCATCGCCGAGGAGGAACATGGGGTCCGACGTGAGTCACCCTCTGCGGACTTCCGGAAGTACTTCCAGGAGTACTTGGCAATTTGCTGAGGTCTCATGATGGAAGTAGGACCTGAAAGCCATGAAATCTGCCATTTTTTGTGACCAGTTTTAGTCCACATGAATGAGTCCCTGCAAGATAGGCTGGCTCTGTAATCATCTCGGGAAGGTGCCATGTTCAACTTTCCAAGTCTGAGGCAACGGAGGTAGCAAGGCATCTCAGAGCATGATGAAGTCAGGAGAGACCGAACCAAGAGCAAGGGGGGATTGTCGGGGGAGTGGAGGGAGAGGCAAGGCTAGTGCAGTCGATTGAGAGGACCACATTTCAAGGGTCATGCAAATGATTCAACATTGTTTTTATTGTCACCAAGAGGCAATTTAGTTGCCTAAGTATATAAAGCTACTTTAGAAATATTTGTGATGACTTTTTACATCCCTTTGAGGTTGGAAAGTTTATAAGAAAAATATAAAGTAACATAGGTCTGAGAATTATTCAGTGGAAAATAAAACTAATCAATTAAGCGCATAGTTTTTACAAATTTAGTCACAGTGGAAATCCGGGCGAGCAATAATACATGGTTTTTCAGATAAGTATTGAATTAGAAATAAAATAATTTCATTTTGCATTTTAGCTACCAGGAGGAAGTGTTTTCCTGGATGTTTCCTAGTATTTACTGTATGCTCTGTACCTGTTCCTAATCAGTTGCAGATAACTAGGTTTTCTTCTGAATTTTAATTGTAAACAATCCATACATTTACGTTATTCAATTAGGAAACCATGTTTTACAGAGGTCTCTCTGTGTGTGTGTGTGTGTGTGTGTGTGTGTGAGAGAGAGAGAGAGAGAGAGAGAGAGAGAGAGAGAGACATTAATTCATGGATAGTAAGTATTTTTAAGACTTTTGTCATGATTTTAAAAGTAAAATATAGTATTTGGGCAATGGTGGAATCAGTGAATCAGTGCACCAGCCAAAAGTATGCATATTTCAAGGAGGCATGTGAACAGCAAACTAGTATGTGCTGGCAGCTAACACAAGTTTTCTGAATTCTGTATACCTGGTATCTGGACATGAATCAAGTCTAGCTTTTCTGAAGTGAGTGAAAGTGAGTGAAATCTGATTCTTGAATATGAGAGAAGATATAAAAATGTAAAACCGATAATAGAGTTTCCATAAATTAAAGAGGAATTTTGTAAGAGGCTTCAGCAGATCAACAAGTCTGTTTTCCATTAAGTCAAAACAACTTATATTCTACTCTGTGATTCGTAATGAAAATGGTTTGGAGGGACAATTAATTTTTAAAATTAAGTGAGATATTGAAGTGGGCTAACTCTGTATATGTAAATATATTTTACTTAGCTAACATAGCAGTGCATATTTCATCCTTTAAACATTACATAACACACATTAAAGCACAAGGAAGAAAATTATAAAGAGAACCAGAGCAGGAACACAGACATTTATGGTTAAAAAAAGAAAGGAAAAGCACAAGTGATTTTTCACATCTTAATTCGAGGGAAACAATAGGGACACCCTCATGCTTAAAGTTTGCAAATCTCTCATATTCTTTGCCTTTTCTAAGATAGGAAGAAAAGTACTATCTTTTTATAAATGTGAAAGACAGCCTTATAGAATAGAAATATCACTTTACAAATTAAAGGCTGAATCTTGGCAGTTTCAACTGAAAGTTTTACTTGGTTAAGTGGATAGAAGACAATGTTACAATCTAGTTTAGGTAGCTCAAATTTTTCCATATTTAGGCTTATTTTTAATTCATTAATTTAAAAATTTCTCATTAGCTATTTGGAACTTCAAAAAATATTCAGGAAACATTCATTTGGAGGGATTGTTGTCAAATTTGATCAGAATTCAAGGAGAATCAGGCTAACATTAAGAGTGGATGAACATTTTCTGAGGTCCTCTTCACTGTCCTTTTTCAGAGTACAGTAGCTTTCATTCCTGGATAGCCAGAATCAATATTGTCAAAATGGCCATACTTCCAAAACTGATATATAGATTTAACACAGTTCCAATCCAAATGCCTACAACATTCCTCACAGAACTAAAGAAAACAATTTGAAAATTCATATATTCATAACAGCTGAATCTTGGAAGCAGCCTGCAAGTCCATTAACAGAATGAATGGATAAAGAAGGCATGGTATCTAATACACAACTGAATACTACTTGGGTATAAAGAAGGATAAGTTTGAGACATTTGTAAGAAAATGGATGCACCTTGAAAACATAATGTTAAGTGAAGTAAACCAGATACACAAGAGTGAATACCATATGGTTTCTATCATATGCAAATCCAAAGTGCAGATAAAGAGCAAAATAGAAGATAGATGAAAGGAAACAGGGAGATAGGTCTTTTGCAAATGAGAAGGGGACAAGAGACTGAAGGTGAGTGGAGGGGGATAGGGAAGGGAAAGTAAGGACTTAAGATGTGCAGTGTGTATGCAGCAGCTACCCACAATGAATGTAACCATTGTATATTGCAAACATGAACTAAAAAGAAATAATGGTAATAAATAATGGGGAAAGGGATCTAGAGATAGAAGGAGGTAGGAGGGTGGGGAGGGCAAAGGGAATAAAAAGAATCAAGATACATTAAGTATATGTACTTGCTCTCTAAGATGAATATAAACATCATGTACTGCAAACTTGTTTCAATAAAAAACATTAAAAAGAATGAATAAATACATTTTAGTGACATTATCATTGCTCTGAAAACTCTAGTCACAATTAATTGTTTACTTAATGTCCAGTCACGTTTTATAAGAAGACCTATAAGAATTGGCTCACAGAAGTATGGGAGCTGAGAAGCTCACCGTCTGCCACTTGCAAGCTGGAGTTGGGGTAGGCGATGGTGTAATTCCCAGTTACAGTCCAAAATGCTTGAGTACCACGGGTGGTGGGAAGCTGTACTGGTGTCAGTCTTAAAGTTTCAAGGTTCAAGAACCAGGGGCTTGGATGTCTGAGAGCAAAAGCAGAGAACAAATTTACCCTTTCTCTTTGTTTTTGTTCTGACCAAATCCTCAGCAGATTGGATGATGCCCACTAACACTGGGGAAACAGGCTCTTGCCTACTTAGCCTACTGATTCAAATTTTTAATCTTTTCCAGAATCACCTTCAGACAAACTCAGAAATAATGCTTTACAAGTTATCTGGGCATAGACCAGTCAAGTTGACATATAAAATTAACCATCACAAGCCAAGAAAAACAAAACTAAGACATATTTACAACTGCTCAAAGACATAGTGGCATTCCCAACAAGTTATGCTCAAGAAAGAAAACCCAAAACCCCAAATAATCACCTTTATTTTAAAAAGTTATTAAAATTATTTTGATCAATAAATCATAATAGTATAAATTTAGAGCACAATGTGATGTTTTAAAATATATATATGATTAAATATATATGTGATTAAATCAAACTAATTAACATACCCCTTCCCTTGTTTATCTTTTTTTATGGTGAGACATCTGAAATTTACTCTTACTTTGAAATACTTAATATATTATCATTCACTATTGTTTCTCTGCTGTACCACAGACTGTAAAATCTATTCCTTCTGTCTATTTGAAATTTTGCACCCTTTGGTCATCGACTCTTCTTTCCCTCTCTCTTACCCTTCTACCCTCTGGTAACCATCCTATTCTTTGGTTCTCTAGGTTCCATCAGGTTCCACATACCGATCATGCAGTATGCATGAAATCATGTAGTATTTTGTCTTTTTGTGCCTGGTCTATTTCAGTTAGTGTAATGTTCTTCATATTCATCCATGTGCTTTGCAAGTGGATTTTCCTCCTTTGAAGACTGAATAGTATTCCGTGGTGTATAGACACCACATTTTCATTATTTGTTTATCCATTGGTGCTGTTTTC